CATCTTCTGCAAACACAAACACTCCCCAAGCAATCATGCATCCACCTGTGGTATCTGTCTTACAGACATAAAGTCTTTGGCAGAAAAAGCTTCACAAAAATGAGTTTCGATTAGAACTTTGGAAGAAAGGGGAGATTTTACATGGAGAAGGGCAATTTTTTTCTAAGCAAGAAAGGGAGAAATGCAAGGCAGAAGGAGAGAAGGAGACATGAGGGCTAAGTGAGGCAAATCTATCACTAGCCCAGATTTGAACTTATAAAAACAAAGAAGAAATAAATTGAGCTGAGCAAGCATCTGCATAAACTTTGACTAAACTACACGAAGCAAACCTGCTTGTTATGGGTGACAGCTTCAAGAAGATGCAAACTAGACATCTAAAGCATTTCTGTATTATATTATTTTAAACTATCTTGACATTTTCTTTCAATCACCATCACCTCCCTTCTCAACACTCCTTCCCCCCGTGCTTTATGCAAGAAGCCTGAAGACATGAATAAGCAACACGCTGGCACTGCATTTTCCCAAGTTTCTGGAGCTTCTGAACTTTGGGAAATCCTCTTTACTATGGATTACTACATCCAGAAAGTCAGGGTTAGCCTCTGGGAAGTGCTGTGTGCTGGGGAGGTGACAGGGATGAAGTCCAAGCCCAGCCTGACAGTGACCAGCAGCTGCTCAGTTGAGCAGGGAGAACAGGCTGAGGTTACCAGATGGGATTTGTCTATCCAAAGAGGCAGCTGCAACCCATCAAGCCCAGTTAATAAGTCTGTGGGGCTGCCAAGCACAGCAAAATGCAAGTGGTAAGCACAGGCATGGCAGGTTAAGGGAGTTCACTCAAGGATGTAATCACTGTGGGAAGCGTGCAGTAGGGCAGGGGAGCATGGATGGAGAATGTTACATCAGCATAAGGCCCTGCTACTGTCTGCACAGAACAGCACGTGGTTTGTTCTCCTTTGTTGTTTATTCCCTTTTTCTATGTTTCATGGTCCCAGAAGACACCAGGTTGCCAGAGCTCTGCTTGCCACAGCCTGGGCAGTAGACATGAACAAGAAATAAACCTTAATACTTCAGTCTTGATGAAACAACGGTCATAAAAGACCACTTGAAACAAACCAAAATGCCCTGAAACTGCTTAGATTCCAGTATGTGCTCAATCACATGCTTGAATTAAGCATATTTTTAAGGTTTTTCCTGAACCAAGGCTTAAGTCTTTGCGCAAGTATCTCCAGGCTGAGATACTCCAGCCTGTATTTCAGATTTGCCAAAGAAAAGTCACTATGCACATCTCTGTACATGCTTCCATTCAGACACTTCATATCATTCCATAATCATGGAAAGTCAGACTGCTTTGGGTTGGAAGAGACCTTAAAGCTCATCCAGTTCCAACCCCTTGCCATCGGCAGAGACACCTTCCACTAGATCAGGTTGCTCCAAGCCCCATCCAACCTGGCCTTGAACACTGCCAGGGATGGGGCAGCCACAGCTCCTCTGGGCAACCTCCATAAATACTATGCCAGAAATGCAGAACAGACACCTGCAGAACCACCAGCATTCTGAAACACAGTAATAAAACCACCAGGCAGTTCCTACATGAGTAAGTGTTCTTCTGCCATGACAAGTGCATGGACACGCATGCAATTTTTTAGATAAACAGGGTTATTTTCAAGGGATATTAAGAATATGTGAAGACCAGAATTCACCAAACTGATGGCATGCAGATGACTGTTACTGCAAAAGTAGATATGCAAACTATTTCAAAACAAAAGTACTCGCATATTTTGGGGTTTAAATGTAAACTTAGATTCAGAAAGAGACTATAGGCCTGCTTTACTAGTGCAAATGCCAATTATTCCATGTATCTACAATCAAGCAATCAAAATTCAGCAGCCTTATGTTCCATGTTCCTCAGAGCCACACATTTAGTGCTGACAGCAGGCACTAAACGATACAAAATTCAGCAGTGTCTATGAAGTGCACGTTAGCACAACATACAACTTTGCCCTGCTATCAGTATGTGTCTTATGAGTCTTGATTATGCACAAAATAAAACTGGGGGGTAGGGAGGTCTTTCACACACTTAGGCCAAGCCATAAGTGACTGAAAGCAAGCCATTAATGTTCTTTTTCTGTTACTCATGATAGACAATTTCTTTTATAAGCTATACCTTGAATGATTTGCTACCAGTGGTTCCCTCTGCTTTCTCCCCAAAGATTAAGAACCTACCTGATTACACTGGAGAGTGTCTAAATTCTTCTGAAGTCCAAAATAAATCTTTCCAACAGACACATGGCCCTAGAATTTCTCACTCTTGTTCCAGTTTCTGTTAAGCTGTATTATCTCACACTTCACATCTTTAGTATACACTGAGGATCAAATATTCTAGCTTGGTTGAGAGACACACAGTACAGCAACAGAGAAGACAGAAATGCTAACTGCAAGTTACTGCTAACCTTGGAGCTGGCAGGAGGGGAAAAAAAACCCATAAATCTGCAATCCCATCAATCCTGAGGATTATTTATTTATTTCACACTCACTTGTTTACTGTTCCAAAGGACTGTTACAACACGTAGGTGAAGTGAACAAGCCAAAGTGCTTAAAGATATGTTTTAACACAGGAGCTGTTCCAGTGTGCCTCCAGCAGCAAAGCAACATGGTGGGGACAGTCTACCATGGCTTCATAGCACATCCATGCTCCACGGTAGAAATATGCTCGCACAAAGTGATATTTCATCCTGCAGAAAATTTGTCCTTTAAACTGATCTCTCACTCTGTGCAGAGATAGAAAAGGAAGCCATGATTTTTTTTTTTCTAAACCCGTAAGTCGGGGTAATTTAAACAGCTGTAAACTACAAAGGGTGGAAGAAATATAAATTTAAAATATATAAAATGCATGAAGTCTAGCTTTTCTAAAATAGTATCTAATGACTTGTACAGACAAGATACGATGATGAAGTAAAGTTGATACTGAATAAAGACCAAAAAACCCTCTTTTGCATTACCATTACATGGCTTTTACCGTTACGTGCTGTACCAAATGTGTGTCTGCTTGCATGAAAGCATCTCCGTAGATACACTAAAATGTGTACACTCACAACTGCAATAGTTAGGGCATGTGTTCATCTACTTACATTTACAAATATTAGCCTACTGAGAGTGTTCACCTTGATTATTAAGTGCCCATATTAATGGAACAGAATTTACTGCCATTGGTTGAAAAATTCTGGCTACCATTATTACCAAATTGCTTTAAGATTTTAAAGGACTTTGTCCATCTGGTTTCCAACCCCACCACTTGGTGGATGCTTCAGGGGCTTAAGGAAGCCCCTCAAAGGTAGGATGAGGCAGCTTGGATTGAGATGAACAAAGACAAGAGGAACCCAGAAGCAGTGACCCACTCTCCTCCTCAAACAAAAAGCTCATGTTCTCCCAAGCTCATGTTCTCCCAGTCCAGTCCCTAAAACCACAGAAAGCACATGAAAGGCTTATCCTGGGTGTGATGGGCAAAGTGGCCCAACATAACGGACACACTCCTTTACTTAGGACCCCTTTGGTATCTGCTGTCGTCTTATATACGTGGAGGTTTGTCAAGACATCAACCACTTCATTTTAATTAGCTGAAAACACAACACCAGCAGCTTGTCAGCCACATGGCAACCTCTGCAGAAGCTACTGTACTCCTAAATCTAATTCCATTTAATCCAATTTATTGTCTTAACATGCTGTCTCACTTAACACAAGAACTGCATTCAGGACTACTGCTAAAACAGCTATCAAGCTGAGGGTATCCATCTCAAGAACTACACCTGAAGCTGTATCCATCCAGGCAGATGCCTGTGCTGCCTTTGTAAGCACAGCACACTGCCAACATATTGTCCTAAAAAACAACCCGAATAAACCAAACACACCAAACTGACATCAGCTGACCACCTCAGGTGTAAACATGACCAGAATTTCCTTTCTTTAAACAAGGAGAGTTGCGGAGCTTTCTTTGTGCATCCCCTCAGCACTGACTCAGGACTCCAAGACACTGATAGAGTTGCCTGTGCAGTGGCTGGGGCAGGCTGCAGAGGTGGGGAGGTTTCCTAGACAGCACTTATTGCCAAAGGGAATCAAAATCTTAACCTGTGGCATGTGACAGGAAGAGGGAAACCCATTTCCAAGAAGAGATACTCGTTGCAGACTTGTTCACACAACTCCTCTCCTGCACAGCAGCAGAGCAACCACTACATTAATCTTCCTGGATGTTGCAGTCATGTTCCGCCACTGCTCCTGCTACTTAAAGAGTACAAGGTGGGTATTGTTAGCTTCCTTTACCACATGATTGAATTAATGAATGGTATGTGTGCTCAGTGCATGCCCAGTCTTTCAATGTGGGATTTGTGCACCAAGCCAGTCACCCCATCTGCTGAAGCCACAACCAAATACCTCGTGTTTCCAAGGAACCCAGTGCAGTTTGGAGAGCCAACCGCTTATAGATGTGAGCCACTCAGTTCTCACACAACACCTTCTGATGAAACAACATGGCATGTAAGCAAACAAAAAGCATGCTTATTTAATAAATAAACCCTTTAAAACTTGAATCTGTTGCTATTCTTGGACTACAGGGCAGCCTATGACTTTGCTACCTGAGAAGCACACGGTGATGATTTGGATACCAAATTTTACATCTGCTCACTAAAAGGTCATCTTTTAAGTCTTGAAACGACTTCATTATTAATTTTCCTATTTGTAACACCTCGTAGCAGTAAAAAGAAAGACCAGCAAAATGAAGGTTTGATTTCTCTCTCACACCACCACCATCAAGGACTTTGCTCATTAAACTCAGAAATTATCCAAAAATAAAGCAGGAGATCTGTATACATCAATATATACTGAAGCATTTTCTAATGGATTTAAGAAATGAAGTTCTTCAAATGGTATCATGAGCAACATGTAGTTAAAAGCAACAAAATCTGTGTACAGAGTGGTAAACCAGCAGACATCAGTGCCATAGCAAGCCTTACCAGACCATCACAATTGCTGATAGCCACGGAAGCTCCAGGGATGTCTGTTATATCTCCCACATAAGCACAGTTGGTCCACAGGGGCTCTCTCTTCCATAACCTCTCTGTAGCAGTTCTACTCTGACTCGTGTTACAAGCATCACTTCCAGTTTGCACAGAGTCTTCGTACCACTCCACGACGGCCTCAGGAGCCACTAAACGAGTGTTGGGTTTCAGACGGAGGTGGAATTCCTGTCCGAACGCAGTGACGTTAAAATACAGCTGTTTGAGGCTCTGGGATACCTCCCGCGTTGATCTTCTTTGGTGACTTGCAGAGAGGATATTGGAGATGTAGCTTCCGTCTGCACTGGTACTGATTGGAATCACTAACCCATACGGTCTTGGTCTGCTTTTTCGTAATTCTGCAAAAAGAAATACCCAAAACCAAGTAAAATTAGAACAGGAGCATGGAACAAGCCTGAAGACTAGATGTGCAGCTACAGAAGTGCATGTTAGCAGGACAAATGGTAAATGGAAGGACATAACGGGCCATGGCTTGACTGTTGGGGGCTACAGTCATTTGGAGAGCACTCCAGTAACTCATTCAATGCACAACACACCACAGCTACTGCATGGTCAGGCCTAACACCAAATGCCATGTGCATAGGAACCCTCTTCATCACATCTTGCCTCTCAAAATTCCCAATTTAGGATTCCTGTTGGAGCTACTCTAAATCACTCCACCCACAAGCTCGGTTGAAAGATGATAAACGCACTGTAGCATTGAAAAGGACAGGGGACAGTGCCACTTGTCACACCAATATGCATTATATTATCTCCTAGACAGCTAGCCTAGAAGCAAGCACACCCAACCAGTGCAAGCAAATGTAGAGTATGTGTCACTGTTCTCTTTAGCTGGAACACTCAGGCTTGTAGATCTTCACTTGGGTACCCTCCAGCAAGGCCTTTAACACTCCTAATTGTTGTTATAAAAACGCTTTGTGCTACTTCTACACCGACACCAAGAGGACACATAAGGAAGATGCAGAAAAGTGTTTGACGCATTGTCACATTAAGCAAGGAACAACAAATCTGGGATGACATGAGCAGAAATTTGAATTTCAGGGAATCATATGTCAAGGTGGACAAACACAAGAAGCTGTGCCCAGCTCAAACACACACCACAGACACTAGGGTACACATGAAGCACATGCAAAATACGCTCCCATGTGCCAAAATTCTCAAGAAGCAGGTCTTTCATAACTCTATTTTCATAAAACTTACAGAGAAAACCTTGAAATGCTCATTTACATTTATCTGGGGAGTTTCCTGGGGTTTAGGTTTGCTTAACAGCCACAGAAGAGACAGCGGCCATTTGAGTTCTCTTTTATGAAATGTACCATAACTCCTTCATACCCCTTGATCAGAATTAATTGCTCTTGTGTCAAGACCTCCATTCAGGTTCCGAAAATGAAGTGCCATCCTTGGTTATAAGTCCAACTTGCACACACATTTCTGTAGTCTTAGAAAAGAGGGAAAAGAATCCAGTGGATATCACATACTGCTGACAAATGAACCAATGTCAGGAGGGGTACAAGCAGTAACTTCTCCCTCTATAGATCTCCTCCAACAAATCCCGTTACCCACCTACTTGTCATTGCCCTTCCTCTTCATATAACTTGAGTAAGAGTTCAACAGAGAAGACAATTATGAAAAAAACAAACACAGAACTTTACAAATGTGTACCTAAATCCTGCACTACATAGAACCTATAATACCAGCAAAACCACACTCTCTTAATAGCACCAAAGTCGTCCTCGGGTAATACTAGAGAAGCTGAATGACATGACCCTTTGCTAAGGGAATGTGTTCTAAACACAAGGTTTGCTTCCAAAAAGTCACTGCTGTACTACCTCTAAATCAGTGTGTCACAGTATCCCTGGGTACCTGAACAGAGCAGCCAGACCAGGCTGTAGGCAACCAGTTGCCGTGGGCATCATCTCAAGGGCAATCCCCTTCAGCAGATGTGTTGGCCAAGCAAACAGAGCCTCAGCAAAAAAAATCTTAACAGCTCTGTAAGCCCCATTTGTCTGTAATTTTTTGGTGGTTCCCACTGGTCAGCTCAGGATTCCTACCTAATTAGCAGCATTAGCTGACTGGAAAACTTCCAGCTGGGATCTGAATTTGCCTAAGTGAATATAATACCCTCAGCCCCCCAAAAGCCTCTTTCTGTGTAGTTCCTTACCTGTATTTTGAAACCAGCATTATTAGCCTAAGAGAATTATTTTTCCCCTCTCCTCTGCTATCGTTAGGTACTGTTGAGAAAAGGAAAAGAATCTTCTCTTCCGCTTAGAGAAAGGTAGTCTCCTGTTATCACTTATCACCTCTGCAACCCTGTGGTGGGACACACACATTTCCTGTTGTCTTGAAGTAATTTCACACCACTCTAAAACAAGTCTGTCAAACGAGTTTATCTTTTCTGTGAGACCTTTACAATCTGGAAGTAATCAGGATATTCTGTGTCTGACTTTCACCCTGCAAAAGGAGGAGGACATTCCCAGGCCAGGTCAAGCCGTTGGTCAAACTGCGGTGAAAAACTGGACCCAAGCCTTACTGACTGTGTGTTAGTGTATTGGAGAGTTAAAAAGATACTTAGCACAGAAATAATTATTCCCTAGCTCTTCTCCTTCTGAGAGAACTGGCTAAAGCAATAGTAGACTGATATTACTGACGCTTTTAATTTAATTTCATACCATGATTGGGTAGCTCAGATACTCCTGCCGAGTGCTGCTGAGAATTCCTCAAATAAATATGCTTAATTAAATGAGCTAATTTTTACCCAATCCCAGTGTGAATCACACTTGAGCTGGGAATTAAAAGGAAAAGCTCAGCAGCTACTTTCTCTTTCCTGGTAGCAGTGGCTGCTTATTTTAAGAGACTCATGTACTCAATGAATAGCTTAAGTAGGAAAATGTTCCTAACGGCTTCATATAACTCATTTTTCTCCCCACGACCCCCCCTTTTTTTTTTAATGCCAGTTACTGAGGGATTTGACAGAAAAACAATTAGGGTATGTCCCGAGTTCAGTTGTTACAGCCATTTTTCTCCTCTTTAGTAACTGGTGCAGTGCTGTGCACTTGTCTGAGAACAATGCTCATAACACACAGATGTTTTTAGTTGATGCTAAGTAATGTTTCCTCCGATAAATGACTTTTCAGTCTCTCATGCTCTGCCAGTGAGGAGGGGCACAAGAAGCCGGGAGGAAGCAGAGACAGGACACCTGACCCAAACTGGCCAACGGGGTATTCCATACCACAGCACACCATGCCCAGTTTATATACTGGGCGGAGCAACCCAGAAGGCAGAGATTGCTGCTCAGGTTAGCTGGATATCAGTCGGCGGGTGGTGAGCAGTTGAGTTGTACATCACTTGTGTTTATTGTTTTCTTTTCCTTTTCCCCTTTTAGTTCTATATTCTCCCCCCTTGTTATTTTCCTTATCATTATTATTGGTGGTAGCAGTAGTAGTTTCGTATTATACCTTAGTTACTGGACTGTTCTTATCTCAATCTGTGGGATTTACATTCTTTCCATTCTCCTCCCCATCCCTCCGGGAGCACCAGGGAAGGCAAGAAGAGGGAGGAGTGAGTGGCTGTGTGGTTCCAAGTTACCAGCTAGGCTTAAATCATGACAGGTACTAGTAAGATGTACGTGGACATTTAAATTCCTGCACTGCAAATATCTCTACATAATACACAAATAATACATCACAGGCAAGTGTAAAGTTCCTCATTCTAAAGATGTTCTCCATGTTCCACAGGCAGGAGTCATAGTGTGGTTTCAGCAACAGCCAACTGCACCTACAAGATCATGTTATACAGCTGCTATCTGAATTAGGACACTATCCCTAGGCTAATTCCTATCTAAAGCAGTAGGAATTCAGAGTCAGGATTACTAATCTCTGTCCTTAGAGAAGGAACCAAATTAAAACCCTACACTCATTTGTATTAATTAGACAGGAGGCAGACCTGCTGGGCTCTGCATCCTAACTTGGTGAAAACAACAGTCTAGATCCCCATGCTCCCAGTGCTTCGGCAATGAGATTTCCTTCCAGACTGACATTCCTCCTCTTACCTTGCCGAGACTCTGTGTGGCTTTTTTTGGGCTTTTTTTGAAAGCAGGATGCTCCGTGCCAGAGACCACAGTCTGGTGATCAGATTCTGTGCTCACTGCACAAGGGAGAAATTGCTCTGCACATTTACAGCAGTATTTCCAGAGTTCTGCTTGCAGGGGCAAAAAATACAAGCTCTTTTGCTAATAACCAGAACAGCCAGCTAGCCACAAGAAGGTAGGAACAAAGGGTGGAAAATAAGAACTGTCAAGTTTTTGAGTCAGCAAAAGCCTTTTCCAGAGCCTCTAAATGCTGAGCTGGAAGAGGAAATGCCTTTTGTTCAAAGCCAATTAAAATTAAATGTGACATGCCTGAATACTGAAGACAACTCCTCCACTGACTTGCATCACCTTTTTTCCATAGACTGGACGGGCTTAGCAAACGGTATTCCAGCTGTAGGTATTCCCTTTCCTATGCTAAAATTTCAGGGCTGTTCTGCTAAATCAAAGCTTACAGCAGTGATTAGAGAAGAAACAGAGCAACAAAAAAAAAAAAAAAAAAAAAAAAAAAAGGCACTTCAGATTTTCTTCTTTATCTGGCTTTAAACTGCTGCTCCTTTTCACAGCGTTTAAGTTCAAAGGAAGCACTTAAGGAAGAACATCACATTCTTTCATTGTATGCCAAAACATCATTATCCGGAGAATGTCTCAGAGGAGGGCTGCCCCTACTTTTTTCCCCTCAAACACACATGAAACCAAAGAATTCACACCACTTGCTCACTGCAGTTGTCTTTGAGCTGTACAAATGCAGACAAGGGAGGCTCACAAGCCCTACATTTAACTTTTTTTGCAATTAGTCACCTGCATTTGGAAGAGAGTTACTTTTCAGGCATAAGATTTTGTGAAAAGCACTGATCAAAGGTTGTTCGTGTCCACAGCAGAATTCCAAATGCATTGACATCCACTTCAGAACGTAGATGTCAAAAGCAGAGTCTAATCAGAAACTGTGGAATCAGCAGAAAACGAGGAATTTCTGTAAATTCAGACAAATTATTCCTCTGCCTAAACCAAACTATCCAAGTTTAATGATGTTACTTCTTCTTCTTTTAAAAAGCATTTAAACCTCATTTCGCGTTCCTTATTCTGATTGGGTTTTGCTCACACTGCATGGGTTTTGATAACGGGACTCTCCTTTTTCCAGCCTTCTGTATTGCAGCCAGAGGACTGACTTGTGAACGAATGAATAATTTATCACAGGGGCTCCTTTGCTTAGCAC